GGGCGAGATATTCGAGTACTACTACCACTACACCGTGGAGCTGTTCCCGGTGGCCCTCGCGCTGGCGCTGGTCGGGTACATGTCGTCGGTGTCGATCGCCACCAAGGTCGCCGACATGAAGAAGTACGAGATCGACCCGAGCCAGGAGCTCATCGCCCTCGGCCTCGCCAACTTCGTCGGCTCCTTCTTCTCCAGCTTTCCCGGTACCTACCATCACCACCACCACGACTACTACTACTACTCGCCCATTTTCGCTCTTTCCCCTTTCCATTCGCCCTCGGCGCCTTTCGCCTTTCGCCCTCACCGCGTGCGCGTGCTTGTCGGCACACCAGGTGCGGGAAGTCTGTCGCGAACGATGGTGAACGCACAGGCCGGGGCGAATTCGCCGTTGGCGTCGGCGTTTGGCGTGGGGGTGATCCTGTTGGTCATCTTCTTCTTCACCCCCATCTTTTACTTTCTCCCCTACGTCGTGCTCGGCTCCATCGTCATCATGGCCGTCCTGCCCCTCATCGAATACCAGGTACCACCGATTCGCAACACGCGAAAGCGCACACGCACACATGCAGAGAACACACACACACACACACACGTGCAACAACGCGCACGGTGTGACTCATCGTTCGGGGGGTGCAGGAGTTTTTTACGCTGTGGCGGTTGAAACGGAGGGAGGGCGTGCTGTGGATCACCACCGTGGCTGCCACGCTGGTCTTCGGAATCATCAACGGTGCGTGGGCGTGTGTGTGTGTCATGTGTGTGTCGTGTGTGTGTCGTGTGTGTGTGTGTGTGTGTGTGGCGTGGTGGTCGCTGATAGATCCGAATGTGTGGGGGGAGCGCAGGCATTGTGATATCAGTGGCGTTCTCGATGGTGCTGGTGATCTACCGCAGCTCGCGGCCCCACATCGACATCCTGGGCCGCCTGCCCGGCTCCACCACCTACCGGTACGTACGCCCACAGCCCTCCCGCCCCGGCCGCTCGATCTGTGCCGCATTGCACGATCGCCGACCGGCTGACGTCAGCGCGCGTGGCGGAAATTCGTACATAATTATCGCGTTTCAGGAATGTGAAGCGTTTCCCGCAGGCGTTGGTCATCCCTCGCATGGTGATCCTGCGGCTCGACGCCGCCCTCTACTTTGCCAACATCGGTGCGCCCCCCGTTCTCTCCCCCATTCGTTGGTCCCATCACAATTGTATGATCTCATCCTGTGTGTGGCGTGTGCGGTGGTGTGTGTGTGTCGTGTATGTGTGTGTGTGTGTCGTGTGTGTGGTGTGCGTGTGCGCGTGTGTGTGTGCGTGCGTCGTGCACAGGTTTCCTAAAGGAGCGGCTGCGTAACGAGGAGAAAAAGAAGATCGCGCCCCTGTCTCGGGCTCCCGGCAAGGACGTCGAGGAGGACACCAAGAAGCTCTACGGTACCACTCAAGACGCGCGCCCGCTTCGGCTCGTCGGGTGCACTGCACCGCTGTACCATTTCTTACACGTCGTGTCGTGTTTTGTCGTGTCGTGTCGTTGGTCGTGTCGTTGGTCGTTGGTCGTTGGTCGTGTCGTTGGTCGTGTCGTGTCGTTGGTCGTGTCGTTGGTCGTGTCGTGTCGTGTCGTGTCGTGTCGTGTCGTGTCGTATGCGCAGGCGTGGTGGTGCTGGACTGGAGTTCGATCAACGACATCGACTACTCGGCGTGCGTGGAGCTCATGAGCATCGTCAAGGAGTACAAGGCCAACAACATCCTCTTCATCCAGGTTCGTCTCCTCCTTCTTCTCCTCGTACTGCTGCTGCTGCTGCTGCTACTACTACTGTATAAAATATAAATGACTCATTCACCACCTCGGCGGCCCGGGTGTGCAGGCGGCGTTGAAGGGTCCCGTGCGGGATACGATGCTGAGCGGGGGGCTGGTGGACCTCATCGGCAAGGAGAACTTCTACTGGGACGTACACGACGCCGTCGTCTACGGCCAGCGCATGCTCGAGGTGCCACACCTCCCCACAGCGTGTGCCGTGCGTGCCGTGCGTGTCGTGTCGTGCCCCTGTCTTTTTCTCTCGCTCCTCTAAGAAGAATTCGAATGCTGCTGGCAGGCGGCGTATGGGCGCACCGATGCGCGCCCGACCGCGTTCGGCGGTGGCGACACGGAGGAGGAGGACTTTGACGTCGACGAGTTTGGTACCGCCGGGAGCGACGAGAGCACCGACGTCGACGACGGCGGCAGCAGCAGCAACTGCAGTGATGAGGGCGAAGGCGAAGGCGAGGATGGGCGGAGTGACTGCGGCGCGTGCGAAGACGAGGCGAAAGCCGGCCACGAGGGAAACCAAGAGCGGAGGAGCGCGCGGCGACGTGATCGGCATCACCGGCGCCATCGGAGGAGCACGAGCGGGGGCAGAGACGGAGGGCGACGGCACTCGTCACCCACGCGAGAGGGCGACCTGGAGGCGACGTCGGCGGTGGCGACGCGCGGTGATGATGGAGGGGGAGAGGGGGTCGACGAGTGCTACGACTACTCGCCGCGCATCTTCCACACTCTGGAGACCTCGCCCGACCACCTGCCGCGCAGCTCGGGCCGCACCACGTCGCCACCGCCCGGCCTCCTCCAACGCACGCCCATCGCCGCCCCGCACCCCGACCAGTCGTCGTGAACCGTCACCGATTGTCTTCAGCACGTTGTATTTATGGGCGCTCCACTGCAACTGGCGGAAGCAAAGAATAGGGTGGTGGTGATGGTAGTGGTGCTCACTTCTTGGGGTGGTGGGGGTTGGTGGGGAGAACGGCGTAGGCGTGGGGCGGGCACAGGCGCAGGAGACCGCTGCGCAGGCATCGGAGCTTGTCAGCCGGGGTGGGTGGGCCCTTCCACTCGGGCGCCGGCGACGTGTCAACGCGTTCCTGCTGCAGGCCGCGCAGCTCCGCCGTCGTGTGTCGCAGGTCCACGCTCGGGGCGTCGAGACCGAACGCCAGCACCAGGTCGAGCTTCACATTGCACGCCTCCGTCCACCTGCGCAGTGGTCCGGGGGGGGGAACGACTGTGAGGCCCCGCAAAAGAAGAGAGAAGAGAGAAGAGAGGAGGTACTTGAGCTGGTTGACGTAGAGCTGGACGGTGGTGGTGAGCTTGAATGTGCCGTCGCCCAGCAGTTTGAGGTCGCCCGCTCGCAGCGGCCACAGCTGCGAGGTGCGGTCCGGCAGCGTGACGTAGACCAGCAGTTGGTGCGGGACGCCGTCGACACCAATCGCCGATGATGACGTGGGCGGGACATTGTGGAGGATGGCCTCGATGTGGATCGAGTGGTAGAGCGAGGACGGGAAGGCCACGGGCTTGTCGACGTTGTCGAGGGGCTTCAGCCAGTCCGCCCACACCCGCTTCAGCGCGCCTTCCACCTTCACCGGTTCTCGCGGCAGCAGTGTCTGCTCCACCACCATCATCACATAATAATGTTCGAAACAAAGGCGTGAGAGGAGGGGCGAAAGTGAAGGGGCGAAACGGGCGACGTACCGCGGAGAAGGGGGAGAGGTCATCGTGGCGCTCGAGCGCGGATAGGAACGGCCCAAGTTCTGCGGGCGCCTCCAGCATGCGCTCCTCGCAGAAGCGCTGCAGGCGCTCCACGCCCTGCTGCAGGCTCGCCCTCTCGCCCTCCGTGTCCTCCTTTCCGCCCTCCTGTACAATAAATAATAATAAGAATAAAATTAATAAGAAGAATAATAAGAATAAGGGGAGAAGACACGCCAAAGAGAGAAGAGAGAAAAAGAGCGAAGCGCAGAGAGGGGGGGGGGCGGACGCACGAGAAAGGATGAGGGCGAGGAGGAGGAGAGGAAGAGGAGGAGGCGCGCGTAGAGGCGGAGGCGGAGGATCTGGAGGAGGGCCGGAGCGTCGAGGCCCACGAACTCGCGCTCGAGCCGGTACGACAGGAAGAGGAGCTCGCCCACGAGGTCCCGGTTGCCGCCCGTCCCCGAGTGCGACTGGGCCACGATCGTGAGGCAGCGCAGGTAGGCCAGGTAGAACTCCGCAGTCGCCGCCCGCTGCGCGTCCACCTCCGCGATTCGCCGCAGGTCCCTGCGCAAGCGAATTGATTAAAAATTGAGAGGAGAACGAAAGAGAAGAACGAAGGTTATTGAGAAATCGCGGGGGGAGGGGGTCAGGCGGACGTACTGAGAGGAGACGCGGATGAGGCGGTGGGCCTCGTGGTAGCGGGCGGCGTGGAGGAGGTTGACCACGCGCGCCACGTTGGCCAGCACCGCGCCCAGGAACAGGGTCGCGTCCTCGGCGCGCACGGCCGACGAAGACGACGACGACGACCTTGAGGAGAGTGCAGAGGTGGTGGAGGAGGAGGTGGAGGAAGTAGAAGAGGTGGTGGAGGGGAAGGGGAGGGAAGAGGGGAAGAGGGCGGGGTATTTGTCGCGGAAGTAGCGGTGGTGTCGGGCCACGAAGGAGGGCAGCAGGTGCAGCACGTTGGTGTTGTCGGCCCCCGCGTTCAAGATCACGATCGCCAGCGCCACGTACGTGCTGTCCTCCATGTGCAACTCCGCCCCTACACCCCACACGCCGAATCAGAAATGTTGTGTGCCGTGCGTGCGTCGTGCGTGCGTGCGCAATGTGTACCGAGGAAGCGTAGGTCGACGTGGAGCATGCCGAGCAGGGGCTCGACGAGGAGCTCCACGAACTGACCGTGGTGCTCGCCCAGTCCCTTGAGGCACTGGTAGATGCTCAGTCGGTCCTCCGGATACCGGTTCATGTTCTGCAGCAACGACTGCGCCATGCACACACAAACACATGATTGGCGTGAGTCACACAAATGACTCACAAATGATCATTACCAACCAACCAACCAACCAACCAACCAACCACAGAATAATGGCACGCAGAGGCGTGGTGAAGGCGTACTTTGATGGTTTCGTGGAGGCATTCGGCGTTGGGGCACTTGGTGGCGGCCATGAGGTTGTACATGGCCATGCGGATGCTCTCGTTGGCCTCCTCCAGGATCGGTTGCATCATTTTGATCTGCGCGCGCGACAGCGACGGACGGGGCGTTGTTGGTCGAGGTGACCACAAGTCAGCCCATAAGGATTGCGTGGACGTGGATGGGTGGGTGGGGTACCTGCTCCTCTTTGAGATCAACCTTGGACAGGATCTTGTGCACGCTTTGGATGGAATTGACGCGCACGTCCTCGATCTCGTCGTTGAACATGTCCACCATGTACTCCAGTGCGCGCGACGCCAGGTGGCGCGAGCGCAGACTCAGCTCGCACACAGAATCCACCGCCGCCATCCTCACCTGCGCATGCGTCACAGGTTAAGGCCTCGGCCAAAGAAGAAACACACCGTACACACACACACACACACGTTGTTGCGAAAGGGAATGTGGCGACCCTGGTACCTCAAAGAATTCGTCTTCGAGGCCGTGAATGAAGGCGCCGGCGGCCCCGCTATCGGACAGTACGAAGTCTTCCATGTCGAGCTCCATTTCACCGATCGCTGCAGCCCCCCCACCAACAGGTCAGTACTACGGAGAGCGAGGCTTGCAAGGTGGCGGAGAGCGGGGAGCGTACCGGTGCCGGGGAGGTAGGAGAGGCCCTGCTCGACTGTGGGCATTGAGCGGTTGCGGGCCGACGACTGGTTGCGGGCCGTGCGATTGGTCCACGTCTCGCCCTTCCCTGCTCGCCACGTGTCACAACCATGCCAACCCGGATGTGGATGATGATGGTGATGACGGTATGGGGCGGCCCGGGGAGAGAATTCATCAGAACGGTGCGCGGTCTGGTCAGACGTCTACGGCGAACGTGGCGGGGGGAGAGACTAACCCTTCTTGGAGATGACCTCCTTGCTGAGCGTCTGCAGGAGGTAGCCCGTCCTCACATTCTTGATGCTGCCCAGCAACTGACACGCCTGCCCAAGGCACAACACACCACACACACCACACACACCACACACACGACACACACACAAAGAGAGAGAACAAATGTGATTTGGAACTGTTGTTAGCTTGGGCGAAGGAGGAGCGCTGGCGAGTGAGACACTCGCGAGGTGGCCGGGGTTCAGCGTACCAATCGGCGAACGGCGATAGAGGGGTCCATGACCATGTTGCAGATCTTCATGAAGCCATCGTCCACGAGTCGCACCATCTCCGATGAGTGTGCCTTGCCTCGTGCCGACACCATGTGCTCGCTGTACATGTTGCTCAACACCCTGAAACACACACACACACAGCAACAACAACAACAACAAGTTCATTACCTGCGAGTTAGCAACAACTGCAACGAACAACAAATAAAGGGAAGGACCCCAAAGGGCGACGGGTACCAGACGAGGTGGAGTGCTTGTGTGCGGACCTCCTCGTAGTCATCGTCGTCCAACGCGTGGACGGCCCGCCAGTAGAACGTTTCGAGGTCGAGCGCCACGTCCCGCTCATGCAGCACCAGCGCTCCCTCGAACCCGGCCTGATTACGTCACGCCACATCACGCCGTGTCACAACCAAGGGTCGCGGGAGGGCAGGTGATGGACGACGGGTGGGGGTCTGGCCGTGTACCATGCGGACGCGGAAGTCAGTGTCGGAGGTGAAGCGGGAGAGGATGGCCTGAGCGTGGACGGCGTTGGCCGGATCGGTGGGTGTGAGGTGGGCCACCAGCAGGAGGGCCTCCCGCCGCACCCGGTGGTGGTCGTCCTCCAGCTGCTTGAGTCCGCTCTCCAGGCCCAGCTCGACCAAATCTGCGCTCAACGTCTTGCTCTGTTGCGTGTTGCGTATTGCGCGTCGCGTGTGTGCGGTGAGCACAGGAGCTGCACCGCGTGCGGTTGAGGAAAGCGGGAAGAAAGAGAAGAGAAAAGAAAGAAAAAAATAACAGCCAACCTTCACGATCTTCTGCAGGGACGCCAGCACCTGAGCGCGCACTTTGCCCGAACTGTGGTGCAACTGCAGGTGCGATTGGGTGTTAACGGTCGCGTGTAAGAACAACCTGACCACCAATCATATAGAAAGGGGCTGAGGCTGGGCTACGTGATGGAGAAGAGCCGTGGCTATGGGCTCAGGCGCGACGTGAGGCTGGATGGCCAGCGAGGAGAGAAGCGTGGCGAGCGAGGATTGGATGTCGCCTTCGGTCTCTGCGTCGAGCTGCTGCAGCAGCACCTCCACCAACAGCCTCCACGTTGGAAGCAAACAACACACACACACAGCACACACACACACACAGCACACGGTGAGCATGTGCATGTGTGCGCGGCGGGCACACGCGGCGGCGGCAGCGGCGGCGGCACGCAGAATGAGGGCTAACCCCGACTGGCCGGCATCGAGAAGAGACAGCGACCGAGCGGCGCTCAGCAGCGCGGTCCGCCGCACCGACGCCTGGCTGGCCCGCACGTTCGCGAACCCCTCCGCCAGCTGGTGGCACGGATCCGCGCGGGGCGAGCGGTTAGCAGAGAGGCCTGCCATTGGGGAGGGGGGCTGCCAGGCAGAAAGGGAGAAGGCGATGGCACGTGGTGGGTGGGTGGGGTCGTACGAGGCTGCGCAGGGTGGGTCGAATGAAGAGCTGGTGCATGCTGCCGCTACGCCCGCCGGCCGCCACTGAGTCGGATGGAGGCGGCGGCGGCTGCTGCTGCTGCTGAGACAGCACCGCTGCGCTGCCCGGTGGTGGCGCTGGCGGCACTGAGGCGAGCGTGAGGCCCTCCTGCGTGGCCAGCGTGCTGAAATGAGCAAAAACATGAACACGACCAGGTGCGGGGGGGGGGAAGCACAAACAACGAACAACGCAAAGCAGCGCAAGAGGGGTGGAGTGCCATAATGGGTTCCATCATGGGCCGTGATGAAGGAACAACATGGAGCGGTGTGGGCGAATCCTCCACCATTATGTAGGTCCTGGGGGATTTGGAATGAATAAATCATTTTTTTTTCCAACCCAAATATCCTGATTCCTTCTCGATTAGAACGAAGTAATCAGGATATGGCAGCAAGCGCGTACCGCGAACCCTCCGCCGCGCTCATTGTGCTGTGCGGCCTCTTCATCTTTGGCGCCCTCCACTACTTGCTTGATTTCCCTTTTTTTCCCGTTCTTTTCTCGCCTGGCTTGCTGGGAGCCACCACAAGGGGTGCGCACAAGAGATAAACACACCAGAAGCTCTCAAAACAGGGTTGCCTGTGGAATCGCAAAAAAATGGACAACATGAGGAGTGACCAGTTAGTCCCAAACTGTTTCAACTGGTTAATCAGTAAGCCTGCTCAGTAACACCCACTTTTCTATATCAGCAACTGTATGGTTTTCTTGAGCAGCTTCCCAATGCACATTGGCTTTACTCCTGTTGCTGACAGCAACCTCCTCTCTGACCAACTGGCTCCTCACCTTCCACTCCAAATTCCTTGAGGACTCAGATCTTGAGGCAATCAGTTGCTTCCTCAAGGCCTCAATTCTCATCCTGGCCTCACCTTCCCACTCTGTGCACAATTGGCATTGAGCCACAGCATTGTGTTGAGCCCACTTGCAGCTCCTTGCCCAATGCCAGTGTTGCATGGCCCACTGGTGCAGTGATGTAAGTCACATGATGTCTGTGATAGTGACCAAATCCTGCACATATAGTGGGTTCTTTGATGTTGAGCAGGACAGCAGCCAGCTCTTCAGCAAGAGTGGTCTCCAGTGGGTGCTTGAGGCACATGTGCTTAAGGTGGGCCACGACCTGCGAGCCAACGCCTGTCCTGCTCTTGCTGCTCAAGCTGGCCCTCACGTTAGGCTCCTGGGCAAGAAATCAGCCAATTTTGCTGTCTTTTCTCTCCTTTTCCTGCATGCTGCGGTGGGTTGGCGCACGAGCATTCGGGAAGAGAAAAGAAACAAACGCCGTGCCCGGGAGCCGGCACACAAGGGTCGCTCAAGATGCAGCGGCTCGTGGGCTCTGTGCTCAACGGCTACATGGGCTCCTTCGTAAAGAACTACTCCTCTGACAACTTTCAGGATTGGCAGCTTAAAAACCTTGGTACACCCTCCATCTCATAAATTCGAAAGCGCTTCCTCCGGGTTGCATCACCAATCGCTCCTTCCTCCTTCATTGTATCCACGCCCCATATAATCAATGCAGTATTTATTTATTACTAAATAATACAAATAAATAAGAAATACTGTGGCACTTTTGTTATTTATTTATTCTTGTATTCTAAATTATCATCCTCGCCATACAGAGTTCAAGGAGGAGGTCATCCAGGAGCTCCTGCACGTGCCGCCCAACCTCGAGGTGCGGCAGGTCCGCTGTTCCCGCCTCGCTGTCTCGGTACGTGCTGCCTCGGCTCCATGCTCTTCTGTTCTCTCACCAACCTGTCCCGAATGAGGAGCTTGCGCTGGCACCTCTCGCCGGCGATGGCGCTGACGTCTCCTCTCTCTCTCTCTCTCTCTGTGGTGTGTGTGTTCTTTTTGTCGCAGGTGCCATGGTCGGCGCTGCGCACCAAGCCCGTGACGTTCCTGCTCGGGCGGATCGACATCATCCTCTCCGAACCCGCCGTCATCCGCGCGCAGGACCCCGCCCCGCCTTCCACCCAACCGTACACAGCCACACAGCCACACAGCCACACAGACACTCGCTTTCTCCCCTCTCTCCATCGATGGAGGAATCTCTTCCTCTTTCCTGCGGGAGGACTCACGCGTACACGTTGTGTACAGCAAGGAGACCAGTCGAGGCTTTGCGGCCAAGCTGATCGAGGGGATCAAGCTCGAGATCGAGGAGCTCCACTTCACCATACAGACTCTGGGTCCGCAGAAGGTCTGCCTGCCCGCTACCCATTGCTCACCCTGCACTTTCACTTTTTTCCGTTCTTGTGGGCAAGCGCACACGGTGTGCCGTGTGCCGTGCGCCGTGTGACGTGTGCAGCTGATTAGACGATGTTTGTGCGTTGCAGGACAAGGGAATCGGCCATTGGACGCCGCCGGCGCTCCGCTTGGACGTTCACCACATCACCATTCAGTCCACCAACGCTCAGTGGGAGGTTCGCGATGATTATTATTATTACCATTATTACCATTATTACCATTATTATGTTAAGTATGTGCTGGGCCACATGGGCAGGTGAGTATTGACTGAGAGAGAATGGGAAACCCGGTTGTGATCGCAGGTGGTGGATGACCTGACAGACACGATGGCCGTCAACGATCGGCACGAGGTCATCCTCTACAAGAAAATGACACTGGGCAGCGTTGCCCTGGCCCTGCTCCGGCACGAGAAGCCCGACCTCGTGCTCATCCAGAACACCCCCATCGAGTCGCACGTACGTGTCCTCCCCACCTTTGAATGTTGTTGTTGCCGAATGGTGTTGAATGTTGAATGCTACGCAATCGTTGCACTCAACTACACGCTTCATGGGGCCATGTCTGGGTCTCATTCTATTCTCTCTCTCTCTCTCTCGCAGGTGAAGCAAAAGAAGGACGCGACCACGGGCGATCTGCTGTGCTTCCAAGTGGACCTCAACGTGGAGCAGCTTCTCTTGTCCCTCAACGCCGACCAGTACCAGCTCTGCAGGTGCGCGCGCCGTCATGGCCTCCTCCTCCGGTCTTCGGGCTTTCTGGCCTTTTGCCGCTTTCCTCTCTGGAAGCTATACTGACTGCCGGGGTTTACCCCGCTACACACCGCTACGCACCAGATCACTGCTGGAGGGCGTCCTGTCGTGCTTCGCCCGCCAGACACCCCCCAACGCACAGTCCCCCTCGGACGAACTGGACAGGTGCGCTCTCTCCTTCCCCCCCCCTTCACCTACCCCGGTTATCAGCGTCATTACTTAACCCCATCCATCATCACCGCCATCACCTTTGCGCAATGCAGCCAAGAAGGCGAGGAGCCGGCACAAGAGGTGGAGGAGGAGGAAGGCCAGGATGATGACGAGGAGGCGGAGGAGGCGGCCCCGACGATGTGGTCCCGCTTCACGAGCATGCTGTGGCGCGCCCAGCACGACCCGCACGACGGCGGCGACGATGGGTACCGCGAAAGCGAAGACAACGACGAAGACGAGGACTCCGACTACGAGGACGTGGTGCCGGCCATCCCCGGCGGCGACCGAACCGAAGACACCGACGAGACCCTCAGCGAGTCGGTCGCGTGGGACATCGAGTACCGCAACGCCAACGGAGGTCTCTCGGCACCGCCGACCCCCGAGCAGTCGCACCAGCCAACCGCCCACACGGAGGCTTCCGACGAGCAAAAGGCAGAAGAGGGCGGCAACGAGGCGACGCCAGAGGGCCTGTCGCCCTCTGCGAAAGAACCCGGTCAGGCGGCGGCGACGGAGTCCCCCTACTCCGATGAGGTGCTCGGCTTCTTTCTTTCTCCTTCTTTTTCCTTCTTTTTCTTTTCTTTTCTTTGCATGTGTGTGTGTGGTGGCTAATCAGGTTGTGTCAATGCCAGGACACCGAATGGGTGGACCCCTTCGACGAGTCCTACCTCAAGTCGTCGGACCCCGGGCAGGACATCAACAAGATCTCGTACAACCTGTTCGTGGGGCGGGGCGAGGTGGACATCATGGAGATCGTGCTGGGCGCTCCGTCGGGCCTGGCGCGCATCCAGTTCGAGAACTTTGCGGCGAGCTTCATTCCCGACGCCGTCAGCTGCCGGCTCAACGAGGCCGGCGAGGAGGTGGAGATCCACCAGACCGAGATCCAGGTCGTGGTGGACCGCTTCTCGCTGGCCGAGCTGCAGCCTTCGCGCCTGAAGCACCCCGCCTACACCACCCTCCTCTCCAAGGACACGCCCACCCTCTCCACCACCACCTCATCCGCCACCTTAACCACCACCAACGACGTCGACGGCGCCGGCAAGGAGGAGGACCTCACGGCGGCGCCCTACATGCGGCTCAAGTACATTCAGCACCAGGAGCCGCGCAAGACGCGGCAGAACTCGGTCTACTACTCGACCAAGGAGGTCAATCTGCAGTTCAACGGCGTGCAGCTCGTGTTCGACCGCGACGTGTGGAAGCGCCTGCAGAGCTTCTTCACCGAGGGGCCGCGGGCCAAGCTGCTCGAGAAGGCCGTCGAGGAGGGCCTCGACGCCGTGGTCGAATCCATGCTCTACGACTATGTCAAGTTCAAGGTCGAGGCCGTCGGCTGCTCCGTCGTGCTCCCGCCCTTTGCCGGCCACAAGGGCCCGCACCACATCGCTTCCATCGTCCTCCTCATCCACGCCGACCGGTAGATGCTGCCTCTCACAGCCCCTTCTTTTCTCTCTTTTTCTTTTCTGCGATCCTGCGCTTTGCTCACCGTAGCCATGGCTTTGCCTTTCCCCGTACCAGGCTGGTGTTTGCCAGCTGCGATCCGGAGACCGAGCGCCCGGCGGCATTCGCCGGGCCGTTCTTCCGCCCCTCGTCCGAGGCCGAGGAGGAGGAGTTTCCGGCCCACCCGCGCGACTTCACATCATCCTACATGCGCAGCGACCACTCCACCATCATCTCCCACGTCTTCCAGGTAATCATTCATTACGACGATGCCACGCAACCACTCTTTCTCTCTCTCTCTCTCTCTCTTTTCTTCCAGCCTCATTCCAAACATTCCTCGCCACGCGATTGCAGGCCAAGTTGACGAAGGCCCGATGCGAGACGCTGCCGCACCCGAGCGCGGATCCGCAGGTGGTGCTGGAGCCGCTCGACATCCACGCTGTGGTCTTCTTCCACGAGTTCCGGGAGCTCACGCTGCTCAAGCCCCAGCTGGAGTTCTATCTCCAGTTCAGCGAGGTGCGGGGCCAGATCAACAAGAACCACTACCTCTACCTCCTCGACGTGCTCGACGAGCGCCTCGCCTGGTACGCATGTGCGCAAGTTTCGTCGGTTGGTTGATCAACTAGTTGGCTGGTTGACTTGGATTGACCGACGATCGGGATTTGTTAAAACGGCAGGTCGCGCGCAGCGATTGCCGAGCAGACGGAGCAGCAGGCTGAGCAGGTGATGCAGCGAATCATCGAGGCCGCCATGAGCGGCGTCGCACACATGGCCGCCGACCTCACCGGCGTTGAGCGGGAAACCCTCGCCGCGGCCCCTGTCGACGAGAGCCC